GTGCGTACGAGTGGACGGACGTGTGAGCGTGCGTACGTGCGTTGACACGTTCACTCGTCACGTGCGTGCGCACGTACAGAAATAAGGTCGACTCGAGTCGGCCTTATTTCTGTACGTCTGGATCTTCCCAATACTAATTATGTAAGGAAAAACCGAGACGTACAGAAATAAGGCCGACTCGAGTCGACCTTATTTCCGTACGTGCGCGCGCACGTGACGAGTGAACGTGTCAACGCACGTACGTACGCTCACACGTCCGTCCACTCGTACGCACACGTCCGTCCACTCGTACGTCACGCGTCCGTCCACTCGTACGCTTACACGTACGCTGGGTCGTACGCACGTCCGTCACCACGTTCATTTGCACTCGTACCCCCTACGTTCACCTTTTGCCTAGAGGCTTTAAAAACACCTTTTACGAGACTTTAAAAAAAGCTAAATTATCCCATATATTATGGAAAATAAAAAATGTTCCAAACCACCAACCAGCAGAATTTATGGAGTTTGGGAACTTTAACTATGGGAATTGGATATCTACTGATCGTTTTCTATATATAATTGGTGGGCTTGCTGGTATGATCACTGCTGGGCAAGCTACTTCAGAAAGGCTGTATGGCGACTTATCCAATCTCAAGAGGAATTTTCCCCCATCTGAAAGCGGCGTCTCTTGGAAAAACTTTTCCCCGTGGCATCCAAATGCAGAGATGTGAAAGCAATGGACAATGGATATAGACAGAACCATGGGGATCCCTATGTAGTCCTAATTAAATCAGAAACAAGGGGAAAAAAACACCAACAAAAATTAACCAAAGATGAACCAATCATTTCCGGGCTCGTTGAATCACCTTGCCTGTGGCTGGCTGCTGTCACTGTCACAAATACCCCGCAGCTGCCCCAGTGGCAACAGAACCAAGCTACCATGGTGACAGCGGGCACATCTCCAAAGCGAACTTCGCAGGGTTCAGGGTTGAAGCCTGAAGGGTCTCTCAATCCAACGGTTCTGACGAAGCAAGAGTGCGATCAAAATGTGCATTTGGAGTTTTTCATACCAGTAGGTTTTAAAGATGATTGGAACTGAATAGATTAGATAATATTAGATATACATCTACATCGTCTATGTCTGCAGTCGAAGTAGGGATAATGCAACACACACATCTGAAATCGGGGACATGGGCAAAGAAGCGGCGGCCGAAACCAAGAAGAAGGCTCCAGGCTCTGATGAGCTGCTAAGATATGCTAAGATCAGCCCTGAAATTCGGGACAAATCCATGTTCGTTGCTTGGTGTCTGGAATCATCATGATTTTCTTCCCTTGGTATTCTCCATGTGTGAAACAAGACTAGCATTGAGCTACCTGCACGGTGGCGCCGCCTTCGAGGACCAGGTAGATGAAGTACTTCTGCTCGCTCTGGGATTCCAGGAAGGGGATGTAGCTGGGCCATAGATGTTGGATCCGCACCCCGGGGCGATACGTCAAGTTGTACTCCGGATACCTGCGAGAAAAGGGCAAAAAATCATCACGACTTAGCAGCAAAAACAAAGCAGTGCTGGAAAAGTGCCTTTTGGCGACATAGTACTGGATAATTTTCCCAAAACTGGCTTCTTGATGATTCTTTTCGACCTAGGGAGTGAGATGCATTGATCTTGCAACGGTTTTTCACACAATCCGGGTATAGGTTGGTGGTCAGTCCTTTAGCCGTGAACCTCCATCTCAAGTCACAAAGGTCCCCCTGGCTGTTGACAAAGTCCTGATTATTGTTATATATATATATATATATATTATATATATACACATATATATATATTGTTCAGATTGAGATTGACATTGCGAATCAAGTATTCATAGAATTGGATGATGGGAAAATTTACAGGAAAGCCCGATCAATTTGATGGTAAAAACCGATGGGTTTCCGGTTAAGATTTTCCCTACAAAACCAATCCAATGAAGTATTCATTGTTTGCTGATTTTTGTTATATATAATTTCAACATTTCATTGAATCAATCCCCTCCCCCATTCACATGAAAGACACCCCCCGAACAACGAAACCATGGTTTTTGGTTGGGAATTTCCACATTTTTTGGGGACCATATTTGGGGTTGTTTAATATGAACGGGTGATGGGATTACCCTCTGGTAAATTAACATAGCTATGAAAAATGGCCATTTATAGTTGATATACCCAATTAAAGTTGTGATTTTCCATAGTTTTTGATGTTTTTTGTATGTTTACCAGAGGGTAATTGCCATATTTGGCGGTCAATGTTTGTCCACGTTTTCGTCCAAGTCCACGGTGTCCACGGGCACATATGGGTGTACAACAGATGCCGCGGCCAGTCACTCCGCACCAGCTCTTGAGGCCTGGCGGTTGCGGTGGGTACCGGTCAACTGTGGGGGGAAGCTGTGATGACATGCGTAAATTCGTATGAAAACCATATGAAAACCTGGTTGGTGGTTTTAACCATCTTGAAAAATATTAGTCAATGGGAAGGATTATCCCATATATTATGGAAAATAAAAAATGTTTGAAACCACCAACCAGAAACATATAAAACCATAATAAAAACCATGGAATCAGTGTAAATTTGCATGAAATAGCATGAAATAGCAGGATGAACACATGTGAAAACGCAAACATATGAACACATATGCAAATCAATGTAAATTAGCATGAATATATATATATATATATATATGAACACTTTGGTGACTTGATCTCTGCTAAGTTGGTTTACCTTGTAGTGGGGTAAGTTCAACAAAGAACATTGCAATTCCATGGGCCTAAAGCAAACCAGTAATCCAAAACATTTACTGCACTTTAATCAGAAAGTGGACATACCAAACCGCAGTAAAAACTGATCAACTACAAATGAAACGTGTTTTACTTAACCATTCAGAACAAACCTGTTTTTGTTTGAAAGGTACAAATTGCGAAACCAACTTTTCTGGAAAACCACCAGAGAAACCTTCCATTGGCATCCTTCCATGAGGCTCATTCCCATCGACCTGTGCAGCCACATGTAGTTGGAGGACAAGACCGGAGGGCAATACACGGCCACGGCCACGGTTTCATCAGGGGCACTGCCTTGGGCAAGGCATGCTCCTCCAAGCCAAATGAACATTCTTAAAAAAGAAGATCATAAAAGATTTAGGAATAACAAACAGATTTGAAAAATAGATAACAACTTTCTGTAGGAATAACAATTAAAACATTACGATATGAAATTTCGGTAGGAATAAGGAACAGAAAAAACTTGTTCTGACAAGATATGTTTGGATCGTCAACTTTTCACACTGTTTTGTTATAGTTCCCATGTCGTATTCAGTTTTGGACCCTGATGGCCGAACGGAAGAAAACACTGAAACTACCATTCAGATGTGGTGCCAAAGTGCTGCCCCCCAGTGAAATGTCTGTTGTACTTGGTTTATTTAGTTAAATAGGTATAAGTTATACATAATTATATATATATATATATATTATATATATATGATTTATATTATGATATATGCCCACGATAAACCCCTCAACTGACCGTCATGTTTCTCCAGCAACTTAGCAAACGCTCCAGGAAACCACCCCTGGGTGTAGCGGTTAGCCGTCGGCTGGAGCTTTCGGAAAAAATCGCTGCTAGAACTCCAGCAAGTTCAAAGTCTATCTATCTGGCTGTGGGTCAAAACCCTGGTACCCGACATGGTAAACATACAAAAAACTATGGAAAATCACAATTTTTCGTGGGAAAATCCACTATAAATGGTGATTTTCCATAGTTATGTTAGTTTACCAGAGGGTACTCTTGGTGAAGATCAACATAGCTGGGACTTCTGAATGTCCATTTATGAATGTCCATAGCTGGCAAATGGATGTCCCAAATGTCTGGCAAATCCTAGGCTTCAACAGTTTGAAGTTTTAACCATGGATGCTTTTTTCCCCCAAGGAGTATTGTATCATAGGTTTCAACCCATCCCCATCTTTCAAAGGCCAAGTTTCAATGGATCAGCGTGCTGCTGATGACCGTGGCTTCCGAAAACTTCGTGCGATCCGGATCCCACTGGTCCGGGTCCTCGTGGATGAAGGCACACCGGCAGCCTGGCGAAGACGGTTTTTCGTTACCCAAGCTACGGGTATTGACCAGCTATTGCTGGGATGGTATACAATGTGAGGCCCCCAAGATAGCTAAGTTGGTGAACATAACTCCAATAACTGTGGTTTATGGTACTTATAACTATAGTTATTGGGGCTTATAAACCAACTTATAACTATGGGGCACCACATTGTATGATTTACCATCTGGTTATGACTAGCAGTTCGCCATGGAAAGATCGACCATTTTTAAGTTCGGTAAACCATCTATTTCTATGGGCCATCTATACCATGGCTATGTTAAATAACCAGAGGGTATATGAACAACAATTAGATCACTTGATTAGTATAGAATTATAGTAACTATAGTATATTGCTGGGATATATTATTTGTACGTATATTGCTTAGATCACTTGATTGGTTCACATGAACAAAAATATAGTTGACCTTTGCAAACCTTTCCCCGACTCTTTGTGATGTGACATGGTGGACGCATGGCTGAACTTGTCACAGCAGTGGTTGGGATCCGTTGTTTAGCATCGTTTTCCCATCTATTTGATGTTTTTTTGGGTGAATTGCTGGGGTATGCCCCAGTTTTGGACAGACCTGTCCACTTCAGGGAGATTATTGGACTCTAAACTTTGTTAAAGAAAGAGTATCAGCAGAGTTTAAGGATCTCTGTCTCCATCAAATTATCCACATTGCCCACTTGCGCCTAGGTCAATCACAATGACCACGAGGCAATGCCCAGAAACTGACACTGGTCTGGTAAATTAAATAGCCAAAGATAAGTCCAAAAATATACATTTTGCTGGTGAAATCTCATTAATCATCCCTTACCCCTAATATAACATCTTTTCCAGACTCCGAACCAACCACCTGCATGGTGAAATGGTTTCAGCTCCAGGTTGGCCTGCCACGAAGCCATCTCCCCGAATGCCCAGCGAGGAACTCGACCCTTCCTGCCCTGCGATGTTGGCTGTGCCGCGAGGTTGGGGTTTCTGAAAGGATCCCTTCTCCTTCAAAACAAATAGATATTACAATGGCGTTAAATGATACTAAAGGGATCACTTTAGGCACTTTGAGCAATGGGAAATTGGAAATTGGATGAAATTGGGGTATTAACCAGCAAACGTGGAGGACATATTAATGTTACATGGCATGCTGAAATCAAAACTAAGTGGCCCAATCGCCCCTTCAATAGCAACACGCACGAAGCATGGAACTCCACTGCGGTTTCTAGACTTTGGCTGAAGGAATTGAACGGTTGTCAACTGGCTTCGAAACGCTGGGGCGGGAATACACGCATCAGGGCATAACTTCAATCAAGGGGCTCATCAGCTCAAACATTGTAGAGAATAAGTGAAAGAAAACAAGAAAAAAACATAATGACACTTTCACTTTCATGTCCTGCGCCCTGCATGCCCACAATCTCTCTCAGCTTGGTACAAAGATGAAACCATTAGTATATCTAGTGATACAAAGCTGATCAGGTCACAGGGACAAGGATGGCAAACTTAAACTCAAAATTGTGACTTCGTCAGAATCACCAGAGATCTCAAACAACTGCGGCGAATAGTGATCAAAAACGAAGGCTCGTTTACACCATTCTGCACCATCAACCTTTTTGTTTCACAGCTGCCCCAGCTTCCCAAGTCGTGGCAATTCCCACCTGTCAGCGGCACTAGGGAAGTGATGGTTGGCACCACATACTCCGGGTCCAAAGTGGGTTCCTCATAGTCTGATACCTCCTGCAGGATACGCAACACTTCGATCCATGGGTGACCGGCCTGGAGAATGATGTACCCTCTGGTTATGACTAACATAGCCATGGAACATCACCATTTTCAATAGGTAAACCCAGGTAAACCATCTGTAAATGGGCTATTTCCATGGCTACATTAAAAAGAAAAGAGGGATTTAATGTGATGTACTTTATGGTCACTCACCATTTCAAGACATGATTTTCAAGGGTCATCCAAGAGTGACCCCCTGCAAAGCCTACCCTGGAAGCCACACATGACTGAATTAGAAAGAGTAGGACATGGGACCGTCGAAAGGTGTGGAGTTCATCTTCAACCCCACACCTACCCTGTAAAACTTGAGCTGCTCTTCAATTCATGTGTAGAAGAATGCATGTCGCGCTTCGCAACTATTTGATGATATCCAGGAAGTAGGCTCACTCACCTACATTGTTAGTCTATTTAGCCTTTTGGCAATGCATGTTTGCCTGCAAGCAATGCTAATCTTAGGCTGTAACATTTGACAAAGCCAACTTGTCGCAGCCATGACATCTTCTGCATATCTTCCGCAATGTACAGCGAAGCCGTAGACTTTCTCATCATGTCTGATCATTTTCGATCATTTTCCCAATTCAATTTTTCCCTGCTTTTCCCAGTTTTTCTCATCATCCTCCCATCTTTTCTCATCATTTTCCCAGCTTTTCCCAGCTCCTATGGATCCAATGAAGCCCGCCTTCCGGTCAAACCACCCGTCCCCCAAGTCAAACCCTCGTCCTCTCGGGTCTCGAAGAATTCGAAGGTCACATGACCTCAACGGCGAAATGTGCATCGGGTGAAGTTGCTATGAGAAAGTCACAAGATTTGATGGGTAATTCATCTATCAAGGGACCATTTTCCATCATTATTCTGATTCTATATTTATATGTGTGCACACCAGAGGAGAACATCCAAGGTCCATTATATGTGTAAGTTTGTGTAACAGATTAAATTGCCAGAGACTAGTGGCTGGATTCTATCCCATTGTGTCATGGGAAAATTTGGGATAACCCCAAACCAACCATAGGTCCTAGTTAGCACCGACAAGCGGAACGATGGTTGAGCCAACCAATCAGAATCACAGGTGCGGTGTCGGCAGCTAGCTCAAAGCGAAAGAGCTGCTAAACACAAAACACAATATATTGGATGGATTTGGATGGTACAAATTAGATGGCATTAAATATGGATGGTACCATTGGTACAAATGGCCTCGAATGGCAATGAAAATTCCCCGAGGTTTGATGATTGAAATGGAGATATACCCTCTGGTAAACTAACATAGCTATTGAACATGGCCATTTATAGTGGATTTTCCCATTAAAAATTGTGATTTTCCATAGTTATGTTAGTTTACCAGAGGGTACTGTAGCAAACCTTTTTTCCCAAACAGGAACCACAAAACAGGAACAGCAAATAAAGCAAAGGGTTGGGACCACCATCGCGACTAAACTTCAACACAGCATGTTGAAACTCTTAGCAACATAATATTATGTTTTCCTACACCATGACAACAAATCAGCAAACAATTTGGTTGTTTCTAACAGAGTCTCTCCAAACACTTCAGATACAACGGGAAAAACACCCACACAAATGCAAACAGGAACAATACTGTAAGCTTTCCTCTCCTTGTTCTAGTACCATGGGTTGGAGCAGGCCTGTTTCTAGTAGGGTTTCCCCAAATGGTTCAAAGAGGTTCCCCCCAAACGTTAGTTTTCATGTGCGGAAGCCTTTTTTCATCAACATTCATCAACCAACCAGCGAGAATTTGGGATGCCAATTAATGGAAACTCACCATCTTTTTGTCCATTTTCCACCTCGTGAAATCCTCAGTTTCCCTGGTTAAATCATATCTGATTGGCGGTATACCTACCCCTCTGAAAAATGTGAGTTCGTCAGTTGGGATGATTCTTCCCAATAGATGGAAAATAAAAGCCATGTTCCAAACCACCAAGCGGCATATAAATAGAGTTACCGTATTACCCCCCTCTTGCCTCCCATCTCTCCAGATTCGTGCGCCAAGCCACCAATGCCCAGATTCGTCAAGCTGCGATCTGAACTCAACGCCAAAGTACCTCGGCGGCAGGTGACTGAAACAACGTGTTGATATATCCCATAGGATCCATGCATGCTATATATGGTAACATTTATCATCGATATACCCCAAATGTTAGCATATATACCATACATGGATCCTATGGGTATGTTGATGGCCATTTTAGGTGGTGGGGAAATATCAAGAATTTAAATGAAATTAAGAGGTCACCCTCAATGGGTGGGCATATTCCAAGTATGATAACATATTATGCCTTCATGATACCGTATTATAACCCATAATGGAGATACATGTTGCATACATGGTTGTGATATGTTATTAGTGCAGTTAGAGACTAGTTGGCAGGCACAAGATGCCACAAGGATCAATAGGATCATACATCACAGCCATATGCAACTTTGCTAGGGAGCCCACACAACCCCTTGAAACATGGCCGCTGAAAACTAACAACACAATTACTTTGTGCAACAAACATGGCAATTTCATTTCCTCATGTTTCAATCACCTGGGAAAAGAATTGTCAGAAATGCATTCCCCTCCGTGGTCACTCTAATTTGAGCGGATTCATAACATTTAATAACTGTCCAATAGAAACATATTGCAAGCTCAATGCCATGTTCATGTTTCATGTGCGCACGTTGACACGCAAAGTTCCCATGAGCGACTTGGTAGAAGTATTAGTTGCACAAATTGAAGCATATCAAATATAAACTTTTCGACAAGGAACGATTTCAGTGCACGCAGGTTGCCACTGCCTCCGGAGCCCCTTAAACTTAGTCGTCAATGACCAGTGACAAACCGTTGGAAGCAACACCTTCGGCGATTCGCAGAGCAAGGTCGTGCCGTTGAGGTATCTGCGCGCTTTTGGTCGTGGCGTATTTGTTCACAGGGAAGCTTAGACATCCATCAAACAAGTTTTGCCAGGGTAATCATACAGAAAAATGTGGAAAACCATGGTTTCCTGTGAAAATGATCTACATTCATGGTGGATTTTCTACACATCTGTTGATATCTTTACAGACCAGCTACTTCTTGTAGCCGGAAAAAAATATGCACCACCTCATGTATACGTAACTCATGACTATAGCCGCTATAGCCCACAAACAAATCCACCCTTCACCAGTGGGTTTACCAAGGACCTTGGTGAGCAAGGTTCAACAAACTGCAGGAAAAACACCCATGGCTGGTACCCTCTGGTAATTTAACATAGCTATTGAAAATGACCATTTATAGTGGATTTACCCATTAAACATGGTGATTTTCCATAGTTACGTTCAATTACCAGAGGGTAAGTTTGTTGAAAACAACGAGGACTGCAAACGAGGACGGATTTTAATGGTACATGATATATCGACAGCTGGAGGATCTAATAAATTCACTTGCAACCGTGGGGGAGCTTCCTGGCTGACATAGATCGAAACAACAATCGGCCGATTTGATAAGATATATGTTTTGTTGAACCATGCGATATATATATATATTATATAACATAAAAGTCAATAAGCTGCAAGCATGGTCCACGAGTGCTATTCATGTTTAATAAATATTACAAGATTACCATCAAATGTCCTAATCATTCTATGGATTTGAGAGATAATTATATCCCACAAGAGAAGATACCCAAGTTGGTTCTTGACTATAGTTTATGATAGATATAGCAAATAACGTATATGTATACATATATACGTATATATTGTGTGTGGATGACATTGTGTATCAAAAAAAACTGGTGGGGCCCATCTTACAGGGGAAAATGGTGGAGATATGATGTGGATATCAGTCACCATAGTCACCAACATCGGGGCCTCGCTGGCCCTGGGCTTAGCAACGGCAGATGTGGTGCCGCTTCCATCAGCGGTGCCAGGAAGGCGCAGAAGTATTCCACCCGAGCGTCGAAGGGACCTTCCAGCAAAATGCTGAGTTTCACCAGCCAAAAGAGCGGAGTTCGGAGGATAAAACATGGGTGAGTTGTTTTCTTGTGTTTCTTATTTACATGGATAAATTGGATTTTGGATGGAAGAACTACAGCAAGATTTTGCAAAGTTGGGATTTTCTATGATTTTACCTGTAAAGTTCAAACGAAGGTTCTTATGATGTCATGGCTGAGATTCAGTATCTAGGAATGAAATGGCCTTAGCTGGAAAGGCTTGCTATGTTGGTTTAAGCATGAACCAACGGACATCAAAGGGGATATTGGTATGGAGAGGGGCGGTACAAAAATAGTCATTATACATGTCATTACTGGTGATATGTACGAGTATGGGTGCTATCTTAAACATGAGGGAAAAACACATAACCCCCTGCGGTAATCAAACATGGCAATGGAAAATCAAAAAAAAAACATTTCTAGCTGGGAACCGTAATAGTCATCATCATCATCATCATCATCATCAATAAATGGTGGATATTCCAGCACACCACGTTTGTCATCCCGATGGCCTCCATTGATCTCCAACATCGTGCCACCCTTCACGGAAGCTCGTTGTGGAAAGGATCCAAGCAAGGTGGGCACTTCCTGGGCCAAGGGTTCAGCCCATCGTTGGGGGACGACCCGATTCCTGACATGTTTATGAATGTATGGTGGTACCCTCTGGTTATGTCAAAATAGCTATGGAAAATGGCCATTTATAGTGAAATTTCCCATCAAAAATGGGATTTCCCATAGTTACGTTAGTTTACCAGAGGGTAAATTCCCCTACTGGAGGATGACCATCCAATCTGGGGAATCCAACTAACTTGACCATGGCACACATGAGCATTATTGCATACCAAAGAAACAAAGGAATATCACCCAGGATTCCAGCTCGTTAATGCTTAGTCCCTGGCTCATGAATATCCCTTAAAAGTGGGAACTAGTTTTTCAACGTCTTTCACTCCTCACTGGGTCGCTGGGGTCAATTTCCAGCTTCACAGACTGGATCACTATCCGAGCGTTATACTGTGTGATAGCGTAAGTAATAATATGTGTATATATATATAAAGTACACACACATATAATATAATATATATAATTGAAATTGTACTACATATTAAACATATTATATGATATATGTGGGTGTCTGCAAAATAGACATTCTGGCTACAAAGGCCCTGGCAATGTTTAGAAACACCTGACAAGTTCATTGCTTCGCTTGGTATATATTTGCAAAATCCTGCACGGTGGGGGGAGTTCATAAATCCCTCATATAGATTCAAACCACAACTCCCCGGCGAGAGTTTGACAAAGATAAATGTCATAGATTTGAAAGCCGCCTCTGGTACCTGTAGAACCACACTGGCATATCCCATGACGGATCCTAACGGTGCTGCTATATGAATGGTGCTCCGTGGATCCCATCAATATACCCCAGTCATGTTAGCATATATATATATATATAGAAAACCACCATGGCCCATCTAAGCTGGTTACTGCAGGACCCGTTTCGAGATGGTCCGACACCGGCACCACTGGGGGCCCCAACCATGAAGGAATACGTCAGCGGTAGGTCATAGGTGGCCACCTCACCATTTCGCATGGTCTTCATCTGCAAGTTCACCTTCAGCTTGTAGCTGAGGCTGTGGGAAATGATGGGACTGAACAAAAAAAAATGGTGCCTTCAACGAAAACTCTGAATCAATTTGGATGGATTCGGATCAGCATCCCATAAACTTTAGATTTACATCACCTCTCATCCTCCCACAATGACATTTGCTAGGCCTTCTTTGCAAGAAATGACAAAGGATCTAATCATATTGTCACCAACACCATCCTCGCACACAGCTGAGCATAAAGCTGGAACTCCAAAAAAGGTGCATTTAAAAACGAACAGATTTGGCTTGGAAGGCATATATATATATATATACATATGGTAACGAGAAAAAAAAAACGCTAGAAAAGCAGCCACAACATGACTTTGATGATGAGTCCTCTACCATCTGAGGGGTGCTAAACCAAAACTCTTCCATTCTCCGTTTTGAATTGGCCACCGGCCACCCAGATGTCCCCAGGATTTCCATCTCAGCGCCATGGAATCGCCATGTCCCAAGTGACTGTTGATGCTTTTGGAGGTGTCGGGACGATGCACTCTGCTGCATGGCTGGTGACGCGACTGCATTCAGTGGACACATTGCGTTGTGGAAAAACCTGCCGGATTCCAAAAAGGCCGGGGACACATGGAGATGAGGAAAAAACATTCTCTAGCCCTGGCTGTTCCAGCTAACTAGCTGGTTTTTTTAGACGGTTCACCACCACATACCCGCACATTTGCTCAAACTGGTTTTTGATCTAGACCTACATTTGTTGGGCACAAGAATCCCGATGATCCAGTTGATCCAGTATAAAGCCCATCTAAGCATAAGTATATATCTACTATAATATAACCCAATCAATCAATCGACTTCAAAAGCAACTTGGCTATTTAGGGGATTTTTTTCCGATACCCCCACAGTTAACCCACAGTTTGTGGGGCTGCCCAGTTCCAAGTGGCTTTCCAACCCCCATTGATTATAACAATAAGTTTCATACATATTCATAAAAAATCATAAATGATATCCAGTTCTTGGAGTTCGAAACCAACTTAGCTATATATCCTTCAGGGCCCCACGTACTGTACATATAAACCAACCAACTGGGCTGCCCTTGGTGACTTTTCCCCGGGTCGCCAGCCCAGCAGCGAAAATCAGCTGCAGCTCCAAGTCAGCATCTTCGGGCCAAACGATGCCAAGCCTCCACAAAATACGAAACATCACCGAAATCCATGGGTTTCACTATGGTTTTTATATGTTTTTTTTTTTTTATATGGCATGTATAGGACATTGTATATACGTCTGCCTCTTTGGCGGATGTCATTATTGTCTTTCCTAGATTTTTGCCATGCAAGCAGTTTGGTGGATTTTCCTTGAAACCAAGCCAGTGGTTGGTGCGAGTGGCGCGCTTGTCCTTTGAGACCTTTCAATGGCCCATTGATCCCAACTTAAAGCCCGCCATGTAAGCGAAACAATTTCATTTTGGTTTCATCTTACTGGTGCGTTTTACGCAGGGAATTTTCGGGAACGATCCCAGTCATCACTACTAATTTCATCATCCCAGCAACCCCCAGCAAGCCATCCAGCAACCCTACTCAAAAGTCATGCTGATCCCTTGGCCGTTTTCTGCTGATCCCTTCGAATTCCAGGGATTCCCACCAGAACGGTGACACCAAGGGACAGTTGGACCGTGGCCCCGCCCTCGGCCCAGCCATAGTCGCGCTTGATGGCGTAAGGCAACCGGAAAGCCGTGGACGAAATGATCCCGGAGGTGTAGTAGTCACCATCTGGACCTGATACGCTGCAAGGTCCGAAGAAGGTGATTCCCCTTGATATATAATTGATATATACAAGGTGTCATCAGCTACGTGGCTGGGAAATCCTCGAACTAGCCATGGAGCTTCATAGTTGTGAAAAGGAAAGGAACATTTTTGGGAAAATCCACTCTAATTATATTAGTGTGGTTGGTGGTTTTAACCCCTCTGAAAAATATGAAAGTCAGTTGGGATGATTATTCCCAATTATGGAAAAAATGTCCCAAACCACCAACCAGTAATGGAGGTTTATAGCTGGGACAGATTACGTGTGGATGCCTCAGTGACCCGAATCGCGTTCAAAGTTGGTCGAAAAATGGAAAACACGGTGAATTCGATGGTTTATGTTAGATATATCTGTAGTTAGTTGGGGTTTACAAAGACAATTCATTTGGGGGGCACCACCTTGTAAGCTCCATAAAATCGGAGAGGGGATTCAAGATCAGACAAAATGAAAGGTCTTGCCGGTCGTTGTTTTCCATGATCAATCTATTGAATCTGCGCTTTCCTACCAAGCGGGAATGTAGGCATGAAAACCATAGAAATTAGAGAGTAGTATATCACTAGTATATGAAACCACCACTACACACTTATGTTATATATGTAAAAATGCATTTATTAATATACATCAACTGTAAAAAAAAAATGAATTTCGGAATATTTCGGATCTCTTCACGGTGTGTCATCATCCCAACATGATCACATCTCCTACCCCAACGTGTCTCTACGTCAGCCGCAGAGTGGAAGGATATGGAAAGATGCTGGATTGAGGGTCGTCACGAGTCGCACGTAGAAACTTGATTACAGCCTCTGATTTTGTTCAAGTTCCTCAAGGGAAAATTCAAATAAAAGGTCCCAAGCAGTGTAACCAACATGTTTCTGATTGGTGGTTTTAACCATCTTGAAAAATATGAAAGTCAATGGGAAGGATTATTCCATATATTATGGAAAATAAATGCCATGTTTGAAACCACCAACCAGTGTTTTATAGGTTACGGCTGAAGTCCCCAGTTTGGTTGGTCAAAGACCGCCACGCCATACGCCATCCAGGGCACCGTTAAAGGACACCGCTAGGCGCAGCTTCATGTCAAAGTGCGTCTCGATGGGCGCCCCTCAGGGGGGCTCCGTGGGACCCAGGTCCTTAGGACAAGGGGGGCCGCTGTTTCAAAATTGACCTGGCTGGTGATCTATTGGGATTTATGGGTGATATATGGCTGATAGAATGTGTGAAACAAACCCTCTGGCAATGACATTCACAGTTTGCGAACTGGAAAATGACCCATTAGTGGATTTACCCGTTAAACATGGTGGATCTTTCCATCGTTTTTTGTATGTTTACCAGCCAGAGGGTACATGATTTATGAGTGGTTGGTTGGTGATCTATTGCTATTTTACGAGGTCACCGAGATCACCCGCAAAATCTTGCTAAGTTGGGGTCCGCTACTTAGCTAAGTTGGTATGTAGATAAGTAGATTGACTATAGGGGACATGGTAGATATAACGGTTATAAACTTAGAATTGAGAGAGGCCCTTTCTGTGGTATTTAGCTGATATGACCAACACACATTGGGATGTATAGATGATATATGTGATTTACGATAGAAACCATACAAGCTTCTTTGAGTTATTCAATAAGGACTTGATTATACTTAAGCATCATCTACAGGGGTTAACACACCACCAAACATCGATGGGCTTGGCCTAGCTGGCTTTATAACTAAACGGTTGGATTTATGATGGATTTATCAAGCGATAGTTATATTTTGCTGTTTTCTTTGCTGCGGAATGATGTCGAAAACATGTATTTATTGAATCTACCTAGGTGGAAATGACCGTAACTGAGAAAAATGCTGCATAGGAGTACTAGAATAGAAGCGAATAGGGGATCATTCATGAACCCCTGCCGGACGCTACTGTACCACTTCGAAATCGGCGAAGCTGGTGATTTCCAGCTTGATACAGACAGGATTGCTGCCAATAACCCAGGTGCCAAGGGACCCTTGTGGCAATCGTGTATAAATAAATAAATAAGTAAATAAATAAATAAAGAAATAAATATAATATATATATATACATATATATATATATAGTAGGTGGGACTTATAACTTTTGTTAAAAGCCTTAGTCAACATGCTTTTGGGCGTGGCTTGCATCATAATCACCCAACTTTGTCTAAGCATCATAATCAACCAGTAAAATAGCTTAATTCAAACATAGTACTACCGGCTTTTCAATAAATTTGGGGGTTTAGCGCAATCCTGAATTAAACATTAAATATCACTAAACGTTGGAGTTATAAGGTTCAAAGCCAAAAAGAAACTCGAGCACATTTTTCGTTGTAAATCATGGCGAATGATAAATTCTTTGAAATTGCCATTCACCGTGGTAAATCACGCAAACACAACTGTTTTTGATGGCAAATCCATGGTAAATCCATGGCACATCCCGATATTTGAATCTACATAAGCCCACCTTCCATGGCCCAATGCCCAAGTTGAGAGAACCTCATTGGAGTTCATGGTGGAACTCGAATTGCTGTTCGCCTCTGCTAGCAGCTCAAAGATGTTGGAAGTTTGAGACCCCCCAGCCGCGCTCGGCGCAGTGCCTTCGCCCTGTGAGCTATCACTCGTATTTGCTGTATGCCAGCCTGCGGCTTGTAGGTTTTCCTTTTTGCTTTTCTGGTCCTGAACATGCAGTGTCGCATGACGAGCACCAGTAAATGGAGGCCCTTCAAAATTAGAAAATCTGAGACGCGTCCTCCAATTCGCGCAAGGCGCTGGACAAAACATGACAAAACCACTTCAGAACGAGAGATCAGCGCAGCATCTGGCGGGGAGTACGCTAAAATGGTGGGTGTCTGAGGTTTTGCACTTGATGCAAGGCCAATGAAAGCTCAAAAAAAATCATATGATACCAATCCTCCAATTAAAAAGTAACCCTCACATTAATGAGGTAAACCAGATCATGAATCAACCATCCCCAAAATCACCACAAATCTATGAACTATCCCCAAATGGTATATCCCTTTGGCATCCACCGGGGTCCGAGATGCCAAGTCCATAGGGTACTGACCCGGCTCCAGCCACAGCGGCGCATGATACTCCGTGGCTTCCCAGCCCGCCCTGAACGATGCGAGGCTTCAGCGCAGTTCGGCGCAGTTCATAGGATCCATCCCGACTTATCACATGTTGGTGGGATTCCAAATTCCAAGCATCATTTTTTTATGGCTCTCTTATGGCACTGCTTGGCTAGCAGTAACCTGTTATATATATATATATATCAACTATGGCTATAACTAAAAACATTGGTGAAGAGGAACTCTTACAAGAACCACTTGTGCTTTCTAAACATCAAACTAAGGGGCTCTCCTTCAAACCAGTTTTTTTAATTGTCAGCTTACATCTAGATTTTGAACCAGTTCCAACTGAATAACAACCGCATTAAACCGACACACAGGGGTTCAAGTCCCCTATTGAGCAGGTATTTGTTGCATTTTGTCGCCATAACTAGAGGATACTAGAGGTGCTATACCTTAACTTCTGGAGGTTATAACAAGTTATAACCCTAATATAACCCTACAAGGTGGTGCCCCAGTTGTAGCCAAGTTGAATAAGTGGGTTGACTATGGGCCGTGGAAGATATTAACATATCTAAAGTTTCCTGGGGTTGCAGACCCACATAGACCCAACCTCCAACTACAGGGTCACCAACTTGGAGTTCTTCCGTTCTACCCATCAACAAACATCAACAAACCACCCCTGACCTGCACCCCCCCACCATCTCCATCCGAAACCCGGACGAGGCGTCTCTGGGCTTCCCCCACTTCTTGGTGGCAGCTCTGGTGGGAATGGGATCCGCAGCAGTGTCTTGTGAGGCAGTTGCCAACCTCTGCGGCTGGTGAAATTCCAATAATAAACTATTATAAATGGTTGGTGGTTAATAATGATCATTATTAACCACCATTATCAACCATTATTAGCCACCAATTAGTAACCATTCAATGACTGGTTGGTGGTTAATAATGGTTAATAATGGTGGCTATGGTTAACCATTCTGGGAATTTTAACAATAACTGGTTGGTGGTTGACCTACCCCTCTGAAAAATGATGGAGTTCGCCAGTTGGGATGATGACATTCCCAATATATGGAACAATAAATCATGTTCCAAACCACCAACCAAATGACCATTTCTTAACCATTAAGAACAACCACTAAACAAGCGTTAAGCTGCAACATGGGCTCTCCAATGGCAGACTTCAGCATGGGCAGTGATTTTCCATAGTTGTGTTATCACAGGAGCCTTAGCTGATTCAAAGCCATCCCCTTCCGCCGGTTCTTGCGCCAAGCTGCGGTGTGAACTGGGTTGGAATAGGGCAGGAGACCTCAGAACCGACAACCCAAATAAGGGATCTTCGCTGGGCAAAACCAACAACGAGACAAAACTCACAAAATCTGAGGATTATTGGTGCCATCCATCCTAGCACTTTGCAGCACATATTGTGATGGCTCCTTTGTGGTTAAGCCTCAGCTGCTCGACATCTCAATGCTGGGCCAAATGATCTTCGGCAGAGATATCAAGGATCAACCATCAAGCATGGACATGTGTACGCACGATACATGTCTTGAGTAGTAGACCAATTTTTTGGTGCTCCTGCGGTGCGGCAGCAGCAAGAGGAAAGACCATCCAATGATTTCGGCCCAGGTCTTCTCTATGCCACTGCTCCAGCACTTCTTCCAGTGCTTGTTGATGGCGAACCGCTTGTTTCACGGCATAACCGAAGGTCGAGCCATACGAAAACTTCAAGGCTCAAGTCCCCTGCTTTTTGCGAGCGAAGTCCATGCCTAGCTAAGCATTTTTTTGCTAAGATTGGACATGCGTGCTCAGTGTAATGTAAAGTAATTATCTTCTCACTAACAAAACTCAGTAGAATTTACAGGCCAATTTGCATTCACAACCCAGTGCTATTCAAGCACTGGAAACTTACATTCTAACTGGTTCTAACTAATCTAACATTCATCTAACATAATCTAACTCAACGCTGTTCGCTGTTGGCAAGTCGATGATGGAATGTCAGAACAGCTCCACAATTCATCTGCGAACAAAGGGTCTTTACCATCGCCGGGCTTTGATCTACTTGAGGGTATACCACTTGAGTGCATTTGAACAAGGGGTATACCACCAAATGATTAGCAATCTTAAACATTCTTAAACAATCTTCCGAAGGAAATCATGCTAAACCACCTGGTGCTCCAGCCATCTCCAGCCCACGCAACGCCACGCCGGGGTGCGGCAACAAGGCCGTTGCCATCTGCCAGCTTGGAACCTTCTAAAAGGATGCCTTGGTGCAACAGATCCATCCAACTGCCATGTTGACCTGCCATGGAGCAATCCATGTTATGGGATGAACTACCACACATTTCTGGTAAAAATGGGTGCAAGTTTATGGCATACACTATAGTCACTATATATTTGGCTTTCAAATTCGCTATTTCAACAATTCAATTTCCAGGATAAACATATTCTGTGCCACCTTTCGTTGATAAAAAATGCCTGGCTCACCTTGGGTGGTGGCAGCATAGCCCGAGATCTTCATGCCGCTGGCCACTGTTCCTGGCAGGATAGGTCCCAGGAGTTCCGGAGTTCCTCAACGAATTGGTGGCATTTTACCATTGGTTTCCAGTAAAACAGTCAATACATATCTGGTATATATCTATATATATCATTATATATCTGGTATATATCTGTTATATATCTGGTATATATCTGGTACCATATTTTTACTGTTGGCACACTGAGCATCTATGAATCAGGAGCATCAAAGCATGGGTACTCCTTCATTGATTGCGGATAACTACAATCCTTGGCTTTGTGGAAAAAAACACAGACCTTCTAAACACCGTTAACAAGGGAAAACATCTTAAATGGAAGTCGTTTAAATATGTTTGAATGATATATATATATATATACATTATTATAATATTATGATATATGCATATATTATATATATATATATATCAATATATATATATATGCACATAATATATCTCTATATCTCTATATATAATTATATATATATATACCATCAACGGGTGTCTGTCCCAAGAAACATTGATAGCAATTACTCTGGTGTTTACCCCATTTTCTGGCTGATTGCATCCCAGTCGTTCCATTCGTAAAAGGTGTAGGACCACAACAGTCGTTCCCCAAATGAGAAATAAACCCGGGGGAACAAACAAAACACATGTCGGGGGAAAAAAAAATAAGGAAAACTCACGACTTGAACAAAATAGGCCCTTTAGTTACTTTAGTTTTCAAGGACATGCGTTTTTCGCGATTCATTCTAATTTTAGATATTTGCTGACTGCAAAAAGATACATCCAGGGTGCTAAACTTGATCCATAGAACCCAACCTGAAAAACCGAGTGTGCCCTTGGTTGTATGTACCATGGAAAATCCCTCATAGATGGAGGTTTATAGCTGGGAAAATCATCTATAAATGGGCCATTTTCCATGGCTATGTTAAATAACCAGAGGGTAATGCAGTTGTTGCTATAAGCTATCCCGTCACCTTTGCTGACCTTCCAACTGTCGCTTTGCCCACGTATCAAACGATCATCGAACAACCTATTGGCCCACCTTCCGCTGCTGTTCACATCTCTTCACCATAGCTTCTCCCCGATTTTTTGATGGGTTCACTTCCTACATTTGATGTTTAAAACTTAGCGTTTGATTGTTTAACTGATCTTTGGTCATGTTTAACATTGTTTAACCTACTAAAATTGCCATGTGTGCTTGTTAAACTGCCCAGTTTCTATGGTTCACTTTAACCCTCTAACATTTACCATGTTTCATGCGGTTTATTCAAATGATATTCAAACACAAGCACCGGCTGTCCTAATGCGTCGTAGATATCGCCCACTGTTTTGCTGGGGCAACTGCTGTTGGTGTCATTGGTCCTGCGTGGATTTGCAGGAAATAAAATGCCATCCACCCAGCCAACAGTAGTAACTAAAGTAGACCCTGCCAAACAAGGGGCTGAAAGAGTACTTGTTGCCAACATATTCAAACATGAGTAGTTGGTTGAGATGGAAAGTCTACTAAGCATATTACTATATGACTAATTATATGTGTTGGGCTTCGTAACTTCATGATGCTATAAATTGTAATTGACAGACCTGAAACAGCTAAATCCAATGGTTGGTTCCCTCATGTTCCCTCCACTAACCATCATCATCTTCATGTAATCGTGAAGTTCTGATTCGATCATCCAAAGCAGTGGGGCCAAGGTCTCAAAGAGGTTTTGTGGGCATAACGGACCAATGATTTTCAGTAATTACTCAAACTAAAACTTCTGCAGCCGCCGTGTAGTTGGGAAACTCTTAGTATAACACCTTTTGCTCCCCATTTACAGTACTGCAATAGGTAGGTCCTAACAGCTCCCTGTAACCACGTGATAGGAACTGTTGAATTGCAGCAGTGGTTTAAGGATCTGTTTATGATCTGTTTCGCGGCTATATCTATACAAAATTATAAGCTATCAATGGCAACCCATTGCAGTCCCATGAACGAGGCCCTCCACAGCACTAGCATAGAAAGCGGCAACAAGTTGGGTAGGAAAACACAGGTTGCACCTCCAATGGACAATCTCTGTTTGTCAAAATTACATATTAAAATGACATAATCGCCCATCATGTACAGATGCGTCATGATGCCCCTGCAATCATCGCGTTTTGCCATGCAAGTTGACATAGAACACATAGGCCCTGTGGATCAAACTTGAACTCACCAAAACTCAGACTCCAACCCTCAGAAGCCACCGCATCAGGGTCCAAGCGGCATGCAGGGCCAGTTACCAGTGGTGGTTGCCTCGACGCATCCATGGAACATGATGGAACTCTTGGGGAAAGCTTGGGGGATCATCCCAAGAAACTAAGGTGTCAAAGACAGTAATTCTAGGGATGTCCTCTAGATCTCTCTTCACCAAACCATGGGAACTTGGAAACTGGTGTATCACCCTGCTTTTTCTTCTTATTTCTGGTGGTTCTCTCGTTCTCTCTGTCAGTTGGGATCCCATCATTCATGGCTGCAGCTTCCTTCGGCGCTCGCCTTTTCGGAGGCTCAGATCAGTTGTGTCATATCCCCAGTTGCAATGTTGTGTGGGTCAACCCGCCTGTGAGGACAAAAAAAATTGTTGGTACATTCCCCCATTTTCCAGTCTTTTCCCATAAACTATAAACCTCCAGCATCCTCCAGCTATAGTTTGGCCATTTAGTTCCACGATTTTCCGAGCTAACCTCCCAGCTTGGGGGATTTCCCGGCCCGCCATGGTGTCATCAACCACACAAGGCACGGTATCCAATGCCAAGAGCGCGCAGTCAAGGTCTTCATTCAGTCGGTCCAATGACCTTGGTCTGAGAATGGATGCGGTTTGACATGGCAAATTATAGTATCTTTTTAGGAAGGAATATAGATATACCATCATTTTCCATTTTTTCAGATACACCATGAAATTGGTGTTCAGGGAATACGGATGCACCATCATTCTTTTGGAATACTGATACACAACAAATTATGATTGCACTAACTGTATGATTTTATTCAGTTAGTATACACAGCAAATACTAATACACCATCATTTTTTTTCAGGCATCCTATTGTTCAACAACATGCATAATCATATATGTAAGAACATATCTGGAAAATGGGTATTGAAAGCAATGTCTTAGGTGCTCATGAACTAAGGGGATAGGAAACTCCAGCCTGAAATGGTGGTTCATGAGAACGGAGTTGATTTGCCAACTCTTAGGTAATCCGAGAATGACTTTGTGATGGGTGATCAATGAGTTCTTGAATGACTGATCACTAAACTGATTATCGACACTACTGGAAGATCTCCTTCTTTTACCATCCAAACTAAGGGGCGCCCTTTAAGTTCAAATACTTTTCTACATCAGCTGTTTGCAGGGATCAATGGATACACTGTCAAAACACATATCATGTTAGGATGTTCACCTCAAACCTTTTAGGGTGTCTTTATCCCCTGGTTCATCAGCCCCCATGATCGACAAACCGCTGCCAAAACACAGCATTCATATCTCTTTGCTGATTCCGTCTAGCACCTTGACCCTCAAGGTACCCATGGGTGAACAATACGAACATAGTGAACTCAAACTGCTATCCAAATTCTCCAAATCCTTCATGGCTAACTTGGCGGTCTTATTGGTCCTTAGTCCTGCGAAAGGGACGTGCAAGGTGCCCCTCAGTGCTTCGGAAAAGGTTAGTAGCTCCAACTTGTTCTCCATTCACTAGGCAATATAGATACCGTCCCTCCATTCACCACCGTTGTTTTTCAAGCTATACAGCAACTTAGATTTAGATTTATTATCTACAGTTAACTATACCCGGCTTTATATATATATATAGTTATATATATATATGTGTGTGTGTGTGTTACATATCTACATAAATCTAAAAGTTAGTGATCCAAAATTACCCTCTGGTAAACTAACATAGCTATTGAAAATGGCCATTTATAGTGGATTTTCCCATTAAACATGGTGATTTTCCATAGCTATGTTAGTTTACCAGAGGTAGATCACTTCACTCCAAAAAATCCCCAACTGCTCACCACCTCGTGGGGTCCAAGTCATCCCAAGTCATCCAAGAAACACCATCTGCCCCCGCTCCGCTTGCAGGTGAATGGTCACCTGTTCTTGAGGCCATGTGTATCTCCAAAAATCCATGGGGAATCCGGGAAGGGGGTACCCCAAAAATGACGCATCTATGCAAGTTATAAGTTATACATAGTTATACTAAATCTAACCAGTTTTATCAATCTTTCATAGCGCCAAGATTATGATAGATCATAGGGCTTGGTGGCTTCCAATTTTCAAACAAACCCAGGGCATGGCTACCCTTCCGTGCCCTGTTCCCCCATAGGAGCATATAAATAAACCTCTAAAAAATAACATGTACAGCAACCTCTAAAATAATCTTAAATATACAGCATGCGGATGCCTGAATGCAGGTTCCGGCCCTTCGAGATCCTCCAGTCTAAGAAAGCCCCAAATAGATGAAGGACTTGCGTGCTTTCCTCCAAATGCATGGAACAGATTTTGTGTTACTATTTACTGACATGTTTAAAGCAGGCTGGAGACGTTTCAAGAAACCATGTCTGGCTGGTGCACCGACACATTTCAACTTGGGGATCATGAGCACAAATGGCAAAGAAGACCAACTCTTCAAGACCAACACCAAATCTACCGACCCTCCCGTATATAATTGAAGATGGCCAAGGGACATCTCCATTCTTGATTCATAATGGAGGCTCTTTCAACATCCCACATGATGTTACTAAAGGATACTAAAGGGGTTCTTACTCGAACCCGTAGCTGCTGTCATGGCCAGCTTTGGATCCCTTAGAGAACAGCTATTGCTCATTGTCTTTGGCTAGGGCATACTACACCCCCACACGTGAAAACGATCATTCACCCCATAATACAACTGCGTTTTCCCATGAAAAACCTCCATTTTTGGAGGTCAACCCGGGCCAGGGAGCCTGTTGCTCCGTCTGGAAGTGGTGCGTGATCAATGCCGGCGTCAAGATCACC